TTAAGGGAAAAATTGAGGCTTGACAAAAGGACAAATCCTCAAGTTTCCTTCCACTGGAACAAATCCAGTTTGGCCAGTCTCTGTGGCAGTATCAGGGACCAGGTTTTTCTCTTCACTGTCTCACAAACAACGAAGGGAAACACCCAAAAGCTGTGCACCCAAGAAGTGTGCAGAGAGGCCATTTCTTACCCATTACCCCAACAAAGGAACTTTTCAGGTTTGTGTGCATGTGATTTCAATTTTGTAATGCTCCCCAGCTCCCACCTCTGTGGCTGAGCTCTGCAGCTGTTGATTCCCCCTGGCCTGGCTGAGTCCTCTGGCATTCCCTGTCCCACTGAGCTCCACCCAGCCAGGGGATTTCTCCTAGCTGCTGTTTCTACATGACACTGCACTTCATCTTTGTGAATGGAGACCTTGGTGCAGCTGATGACTCCCTCAGGGCAGTGTAGTGGCTTGCTGAGGCCCATGCACTGCCAGACAATATTGCATCACTTTGTAGCTTGTGTACTTTTAGCAGGTCAAAAGAGGTGATTCCTCCCCTCTACTCTGCTTTTGTGAGACCCACCTGGAATACTGCACACAGTTCTGGTGTCCTCAACATAAGAAGGACATGGAACTGTTGGAGCAAGTCCAAAGGAGGCCACGAAGTTGCTAAGGGGACTGGAGCATCTCCCCTATGAGGACAGGCTGAGGGAGTTGGGGCTGTTCAGCTTGGAGAAGAGAAGACTGTGTGGAGACCTCAGAGCAACTTTTCACTATCTGAAGTGCCAGAGAAGGACTCTGTGTTAGTAACTGCAGCAATAGGACAAGGGGTAATGGGTTCAAATTGAAGGAGGGGAAGTTTAGGTGAGGCATTAGAAAAAAGTTTTTCCCTGTGAGGGTGGTGAGACATTGTAACAGGTTGCCCAGGACCACGGTGGCTGCCCTGACCCTGGTGGTGTTCAAGGTTGGATGAGGCCTTGAGCAACCTGATCTAGTGAGGAGGTGTCCCTGCCCAGGGCAGGGGGTTAGGACTAAGGTCCATTCAAACCCTTAAGTTCTGTGATTCTGTGATTCTACTCCCTGCCCTGTCAAGCTGCCGAGGAAGACAGAGCAGCACAGTGGCCAAAGCCAGGCTAATCACTCACTGAGATAGAGTCCTTCTCAAGACCTTAATAATCTCCTTCTCTGACTGAGGCTGTAGAGGAATATGATATTTTAAAGGGTGAAGGTTTTTGTCTTAGCACTGCACAGCCAGGATGGGATTTCAGAAAGCTCTGCTGCTGTTCTGCCTGTTAATGAGGGAGTGCAGGGAGGGGAGGTCATTTCAGGTGGGAATGGGTTTGGCCAGTGCCCCACTATAGAATTTGGAATGCTTGGACAATGTTTCTGGGCTTGCAACAGGTCTTAAATGGACAACCCTCATTGTTGTTGGCTGGGAACTTGAGAAGGGAGGGGAGCAAGGTGTTATGAGATGACTTTAGCTTTCCTGCTCCACAGCAGTAGGTAATTTTGAGCCTTCCACGTGTCCTGCCACAATAATGCATGTGAGAAAGCGAAGCCATGCAGACAAAAATCCCACCCTGAAAAATCCACCCTGCTAGCATGGGCCAGAAATAAAGCACACAGAGAGGAAATTTCTTTCTTCAATTTAATTGAAGTTACTTAGAAAAATAATCAGGCTTGAATGGCTTTTCTTTAAGGAAAGATTCATGAGCAGTTCACACTTGTGTTGGCAATGTATAATTTAGCTTTTTTCTTTATTAACAGTATATTTAAGTATGAGGAGATACTTCTCTACAACAAGCCTTCTACTGCATACAAATAGGTTAAAAAAAAAATCCAACCCCACATTGATGTTAAATTATTCGTACACATTGTATTGTGCATGCATGTAAGAAAATAACACTCTCTGTAACAAGAGTAATAGTAAGGACAGTCCCTTTTTGTACCTGAAAAGTGCAGCAGACTACAGTGAAACCCTAAAACATCTGGGGTCAACTTACTTCTAAAAGCACTTCTGCTTGTGGATGATTTATTTCACTTGTCTTACACAGCGCATGGTTCAGGCAGTTTGCATGTTTCTCTGATAATGGGTATGGTTTAGGAAGAGGCTAAAGCACAGACTGAGACAGGTTTAGGGGAACCTCCCACCACCCAGGAGTCACCACCATGTTTAGATGGACCAAATCCAGTCTGAGCTCCAGGTTAAGGTGCTTGGGGCTATCTGGAGGGAGCAAACCCTCAGCTGTGGGTATCATGCTAAGTATGGGGCCATCAGCTCTGCTGGGCTCAGTGCAGGCCCTGCCAAATGGCAGGGAGGCATCAACTGCTCTGAGGATCACTGCTCCACCAGCTTTGAAGGGGCTGGGGACAGAGATGGGGAGCACAACTTTCCCCACTGGGTCCTCTCTGCGCTCATCACTACTTGACCATAACTAACGCGTTTCCTTCTACAACAGCAGCTCCCTGGGTGGCCTTTGCAGCCCCATGGGCACATCTGTACTTTGCACTTTGCTCTGGCTTTGTGCTGCCTGTTTTTCTTCCAGGACCAGCAGAAACGAAACCATGAGGGAGGCAAAGCTCAGGAGCAGACCAGTCCCTCTACTCCATCTGGGAAACCCAGTGAAGAGATGGGGGTAAAACCAGCCTGGTTCCTTGGCTGTCCCCACTGCAGGTGGTGGCTCACTGGGATAAGGATGAACAAGCCTCAGTGTCTTCCTGTGTGGCTGCAGGAAAGAGGTATTTTTTGGCTCAGTCAAAACAACACACCCAGGAGACCAAAAGAAAAGGTCTTAACATTTGTGATCCTTCTCTGAGCTGCTCCTCTGCTTACAGCATGGGACAAGATCATACCCATCACGTAAGCTGTTCATTCTAAACACAGATCTACGGCTCATTCACAGCACCCCAAAACAGATATAACACAGTAAATAGCCAGGTTGTAATAATTTGGGATCAAGCTTTTAAAAAGCAAGTGACTTAAAAGTGCCTACTTCAGCCCACATAGAAGTCTCAGTGCTAAGCATCCACCTGGAGAGCAGCACTCTGTGGGGAGGCAGAATCTGGGCAGTCAAACCCAAAGCTGCTGCTAAAAATCCTAGCTGGAGCAATGCTCACCCCTCCAATCTCCTGAGCATGTTTTTCACCTGAAGCTTTTCCTATCAGAGCTATCAAATAGGGGGTTTGTGTCTCCAAAGCTGTGAAACGAAAAGAATATTACAGAACAGATAAAAACATGGTGATAATGCCAGAGAAAAGTACAAAAAGGAAGGGGAACCACACCCTGTTTTAAATATGTGTACTTTCCAAAACAACCTTTGTCTTCAAAGAAAAAATTGAAATTGCATTCTGTTGGAGAGATTAACAACTAACTGAGGAGAAAATTGGACCAAAATATGAGCACTGCCAGATGCAAGACCAAACAAGCATACAAATAGCTTGTGGGAAGTATTGGAGGGAGGAGGGAGGAGGGGAAACCACCCTTGGACAGGTTTTTTCTTTAACAAACATATAACCATTGAACTAGGAACATAAGAAAGCCAGGGCACACCGTGAGAGGCACTTGCAACAGCCCTGCACACTCTGAGACCAAACTGCTTTCAAGTAGAACACCAGGCAGTGATAAGCAATGGGAGAGGAATTCAGAGTGGGCAGGAGCAGCCAGCCAGCCCTTTGCCAGCCACTGGGTCAGCACAGAAACAGGATGTGGGTTATGCAAACTGTGGCTGTTCCACAATGGAGGAGATATTTATTTGTACGTATGATGTGAAAAATAATGATCCAAATCCTGCCTAAGACCAAATCCAATTGTGAAAGGACTTTGGCTGCTGTTTGTTATGTTAATTTGGTTTTCAGTGAGATTTATCCAGCAATTTATTTTTATCAAATAAGATGCAAACTATTTTTCTTCTTTAATCACATCTGTGTCCTAGAAAATAATGTAACTTAGTGGATATTATCAGCTAGTGTACAACATGACGTTTTCAGGATCAAGCTCTGATACTGTCCCAAGAGCTCTGCCTTTAGCTGAGTTTATTTAAATCATCAGTAATTTCTGTTTTGATCCAAAGACTGACACACAGGTGAGTTTAAAACCCCATTTAAACCAGGTTTTAGACTCCCACAAGTGCCTCAGTTTTAAGCCTTTGCCTCCTTTTGCCCAAAGCTGGGTGGGATAGCCTGGAGTGGCTACAGAGCATTCCCCGGGCTGTACATCTCACCTGCAGCGAACTGAAGCAAACATTTTGAGAAGCCTGTACTGCTTTCACCATCTGGCTAAGAGATCCACACTGAAATTTCACTTTTCATGACTTATTTGCCGTGAATAGATTACTATTTGCTTGCCTAAACCCTCACTCAGTATGCTGTGACTGGCACAATCTGCCATCCCAACAAGCTGTTCTACACAAAACAATCACTACTGAGAAATTCATCTTAAGAGAAAAGGTCATGGTCTCACACCAGGGCTGACTTAGATGAATTTCTGATCCACTGGAACTTCGAAACATCCCCGTCAATGGTACTTAGGCATCAACTGAAAAAAGAAGACTGTCTTCTCCCTAGGAAAAAGCCATGAAATCAGCATGTAGGAAGGTGAGACCTTTTTTACTGCCTTGCATGCTTAGAGAATCAACATGAAGACAACTTTTTGACTTTTCAAATGACATGCCCAAACCAATTATAGCAGCATATCATGACCAGTGTCTCTCAAGCCAATTTTGGTTGTCCATCTTAACTTGTAGAGGACAGAGTTCCCTTGAGCCCCATCTTGGACATGAATTAAGTCAATGCCAATTGCTTTGGGCATTCAAAAATCTCTTCCAGTCACTTTCAAAGTGCTGCGGTTTTTTTCTGATGATCTGCACATGTGTTTGGGCTGGCAGGCTGCAAATTAAGAGACAACAAGACTGGTCATAACTCATTAAGACTTATAAAACGTTCATGGTTTCTCCTCCCGAGGAATACATTCACATTTCTTTCAGTCATGGGTTATAGCTATCATGAATCTACCCAAATCTGGTTTACTTTTCCTTTTCAGGGCTAGAAAGATAAATTTTGTACTAACATCAAGTGCAATATCACTTTCTGAAGAACTTTTTTTCACCTCTCTTCTCACAGCGTGTGCTATCAACAACCATTCCTGTATTGACCTGCACCAATGGCTAATGGAAGAATATTATTACCCAGAGACAAGCTCAACTGAGCAAAGTACAGAACCAGACTCCTTTTGTCCAAAAATCATCTTCTCTCTGCTGCTGAAGTGACACCTACCAAGAGACAGTGTTTTAAATAAGTATAAATAACATTAATTAGAGTTGGAGGAATGCAAGATCAATGAAATTCACCAGAACACAATGAACATTTTTTTCAAACAGTGTAGCAGTATTATTAATTTCTACAGCTAGATCATCACAATCCTGTTACCCTGCAAAGAGAGCTGTCCTTTCTTACAGTTGATTTAAATAATTTTGACTGTGCTGCTCGCAGCATCATTCAAAAAAAAAAAAAAAGAAAATATTAATTTACAAAATAACCCATTCTCCATATTTATTATGACAAATAAAAATCTTAAATAAAACAGGCTTTCTCTCCCTTCTCTCCCCCCAACCCATCCCTCATTCCAATTTCAGGTAGCTTGGCACTGAGTAATTGAACATTAAAAAATCGAGTTTGTAGACTTCGTAGAGCTGCGTTTGGTGCTCGGAGCTGATGTTCTGGAAGAACTCTGTGGTCATTTCATCAGTAGTTCTCGTAGACTTTGCATAGGTGGGGAATTTCAGGTAGTTGCCTACTCCTGCCAGCTGGAGAATGTAATTCGAATCCTCTTCGAGCGTCTCGTATTTTCCTATGAGGTCGTAGTGGATGTGGCAAGGGTGGCAGAGGGAGTACACAGTCTGCCAGTGCTCATTGAAGGGCTCTTCTCTTTGGGTGTGTGGGTCGATGAGATATGCCACAAACTCTTCGAATTTCACATCATCACCTTTACGCAGAGATTCCTGGGTTGCATTTTTCCTCTGGCGTCTCACAATTTTGGTGCCGTATCTCTTGTGGAAGGAAGTGTTGTACTTCTGGGTGAACTTGTTCCTGTAGGCAGACACAAGTCTCTCAAAAGGCTCACGAACAAAGAGGAACTTCATGTAGTTTTTCAAGCGGTGGTTGATCTCTGGGATGCTGTACTGGTTGAGGGTCTTCAGGTTTGAAGACACGTGGGCTTCATTGGCTGGGATTTCCATTGGATCACTGTACTTGCCTCTTCCCGTCAAAACCATCATGACCCTCTTCCAGTTTGTGCAGGCCACTTTGGGAACATAGCAATAAATCATCTCATGATCTTCATCCACGACCAGGTGTTTGAGATCATTAGGTGTCAGCACACGGCGCTTCCTACTCGACACACTGTTTGCTCGGCACGTGTCTGTCACTTGGTCTCGTCTAATCTGATGAAGAATTGCTGTGTTGGACAACTGCAAAGAAAACACAGGCACCAGTTAAGTCAAGGGGGTTGAAAATTTTCACTGCCCTTTTGCTTATCTTGTAGAAAAGCAGATTTCTGTCTGCATAGAACAGTTCACTATCATGGAATCATAAAATTTTAGGGGTTGAAATGGACCAAAAGCCAAATGCCAAAAGCCCCTCAAAGAACAGGATCCAAATACACTTTTGAGTCAAAACCTAAATGAAACTCTAAGATGGGACCAAACCAGTTGCAGGAGTTCTGAGCTTTGGACTGAAAGGAAAGACAAATTGTTACAGATAAGCCCTATGAACCCAAGGTTCACCCACCCAAGATGTAGCAAAAGCTTTTGCAACATGTGAGTAGCAGAGACTCCCCCCATCTGGGCTGTGGTGGGTTGCATGGAAATCCCATGCAGTGCTCCAGGCTGGG